AGTTCAGTCGAAATATCATTGATGTACAGAAGGAAGAGTAGCGGACCCAGGACCGTGCCTTGAAGTACGCCACTCGTGATCGAGTGGGGTGTCGAGTAGCTATTACCGACCATGACTTTCTGATATCGGTTGGACAGATATGTCAGAAGACATCGCTAAATCGCTCAAGCAAACTGAGCCGACCATCGCGAAGATCTATGGATTGCCTAAAGTTCACAAAACCGAAGTCCCACTTAGACCGATTGTATCACTAATCGGTGCGCCTAACTACAAAATTTCCAAATGGTTATTCCAGAAACTTCATCCTCTCACGAAGAATTGTGAAACTTCAATAGAGAACTCGACCGAATTCCTGAAGAAATTGCAAGGGATCACAATTTCCTCCGATGAGATAATGGTCTCTTTTGATGTCGTTTCCCTGTTCACGTCAATACCGTTGGATGTCGCAAAAAAATGCACCGAGGACCTCCTACTGTGCTACGACACTGATGTGCCCGCCGCCGCGGTGCTCGAACTGATTGGTTTATGTTTGGAAACTAACTTTTCATTCGACCAGCAATGCTACAAGCAACTGAAGGGAGCCCCTATGGGGTCACCCATTTCTGGTTTCCTCGCTGAAATAACAATGCAGAAACTAGAGGCGACGGCACTCCCGTTATGTACTCCTAAATTGTGGCTGCGATATGTGGATGACACATTTGTTATCGTAAAAAAGAACCAACTAGAAATGCTCCACAATACCATCAACGCAACAATTTCGGGGATTCAATTCACAATTGAAAAGGAAGTGGACAACAAACTCCCATTTCTGGATGTTCTCGTGCAGCGTAAGGCCGACGGTGCGTTACGCACATCCGTTTACCGAAAAGAAACTTACGCTGAAGTCATTCTACCTTTTAAGAGCAACCAGCCCATTTCTCACAAACGGAGTGCCGTAAACAGTCTGCTTAGTCGAGCAAAAACACATTGTTCGGATGAAGAAGGCTATCGAGCCGAACTGAACTACTTGAAAGAATTATTTTCGCAAAATGGATACCCTAAGGATTTTGTACGCAGATGCATGAGGCAGCGAGAATCAAGGGAGAAGGAGCCGGGTAGTTCTAATCAGACGCCTGAACTAAGCACATGGCGAACTCTTCCTTACATCAAGAATGTGTCTGAACTTGTCGAAAGACACTTAAGGAAGCACCAAATTCGAGTAGCACACAAACCTACAACTACTTTGCGCTCTCAGCTGGTACATCCTAAGGATAGGGTTAACCAGCTGAACAAGAAAGAGGTCGTCTACAAGATACCGTGTGATGCATGTACTGCCGTCTATTGTGGCCAGACTGGAAAATCCGCCTCAACACGCATCCATGAGCACCAGTTGGCAGTAAAGAGGCGAGACCATCTGTCTCAGGTAGCCATGCATACGCTGGACACCGGGCACACTTTCGCTTGGGACAAAGCTCGCGTTGTCGCGGTCTGCCCTTTCAAGAAAGGCCGAGAATTCCTCGAGGCGATGCACTCTGATGACTCATGCATCAACCGGCATATTGAGTTGGATGCCGTGTACAGAAACCTGAAGGAGAAATGGAAGAGAAGGGAGCCAACCAGCTCAGGCTGATACACGGCGGCCGCCAACCGACGCACACGCCATGCAAGCATCGATTTTTTGTGCACTCTTGATGTTAGCTGATTCTCGCTCTCACATTTGCTTTCCGCTTGCGTCTGACGACGACCTGGGGAACCAGCGTCGAAAATTTACGCAATAAACCCTCTTGTCCCAAAGAACCCATCTCTTTTCAATATGTATATATGTATATGTATGTATATTGAAGGGTTACAGGCAGAGCCCTTGATGACCCTATTAATGTACAGTGCTTTCGCAGATTCATGCTCAAAAATAAAATAAAATTGCAGGCATTTAAAGTGTGATTGGGTCACAGTTCAATCGTAATCATAAGGTAGTGCATGGGGTCACTGCAAATTGGTGCGGAAGATTGTATATGACAGATTTTA